GCGACTTCACCCAGTCACGACCCGGGGTAGGAAGCTAAAGGAGGGAGCCGTCCGCCCACCCGAGGGGCGGTCCCAGCACCCCAGTGGGGGACTGCTGCCTTCGCGCTGGGCCTCTGTGTATGTTCGGGAACCCAGGGTTCAATCTCTTTTCCCTGCCAATGACAAAAGCCCCGCGCCCCGGGACCCCTTTCCGGAGCCGGAGTCGGCGGCCGTGCGCTGGTGGCGGGGCCGGGAGAGTTAATTCCAACTGCCTCCGGGAGATTCTGGGGACCCGAGCCCTGAGAGCGCCTCCCATTGGCCGCGGAGCCGGCTCGGCGCTGATTGGCTGAGGGTCTCGTCTGTGCCTCTCGGAGGCTCCCCATTGGCCCGCGCTCCAGTGGCTGGAGTGTGGCGGCCCGGCCTCCGCAGGTTACCCAAGGTTGAAGCTGCTGCGAGCTCCGGAGGCTGCATGGGGACGCTCATGCCTGGCCAGAGTCCCGACTTTCTCGGATCCAGATCTCGTTGCTGTCCCGAGGAAATCACCGGCTCTTCTCCCGGATCCTTTTCTTCTCTAACCTGCTGGCTTTCTTTCTCCTGCCTCCCTGGCTTCCATCTCCCAACTCCGCGGTTCCCTCCTCTACTCCCCTGCCCCCGTCGCCCACCATCCTGAGCCATTCCACCTGCAGCCTTCTGTCTTTTGCTCCTCCTTGACCTCAGATCCCTTGACAAGGAAGGCTCTGCTATAGCCTTCTCACCAGTCTCCCAAATTTTTCCCTCTTCCCTCCTTGCCAGCTCCTGACTCACAGATCCCACCTGACGTTTGACCACTTGACATTTGACCCTGAAACCCTTGACTGAAAACCTAAATTCTTACCTTCTGCAGCCTGTACTGCTGAAACAGGTCTTCCCTTGTCTTCCAACCCCCCCTTTCTGCCACCCATCTTGACTTTCTTACTCTTGGGCCAGTTCCTGCTATAGCTATCCCACCATGGACTTCTTGATGAGTGGCCTGGCAGCCTGTGGCGCCTGTGTATTCACCAATCCCCTTGAGGTGGTGAAGACCAGGATGCAGTTGCAGGGAGAACTGAAGGCCCCTGGCACATACCAGCGGCACTACCGAAATGTCTTCCATGCCTTCATCACCATCGGCAAGGTGGATGGCCTGGCCGCCTTGCAGAAAGGCCTGGCCCCTGCCCTCATATACCAGTTCCTGATGAATGGCATCCGACTGGGCACCTATGGGCTGGCTGAGGCTGGGGGCTACCTGCACACAGCCGAAGGCACCCACAGTCCTGCCCGCAGCGCAGCAGCTGGGGCCATGGCTGGGGTCATGGGAGCCTACTTGGGGAGCCCCATCTACATGGTAAGAAGAGGGCTCTTGCCTGGGACCTTCAGGGCAGATCCTTTGGTGTAGGATAGGAACCTGGTCTTTCCCAGGGGCATAGGTGGCAGGGTGCTGCTCCACTGCAATCAGGGAAAGGCATCAGGAAAGTGCTGTCAGGCTTTGGAGTCTTCTGATCTGTCCTATATACAGCCATCCGATGGACATAATTGAATGTATTGATTAAGATTGTGGGCTTTGGAATCAGCCTTTCTGAAACTAAAATCCTGGCTTTGAAAATTACTAAATGTTGAGCTTCAGTTGCCACATCTGTAAAATGGTGATCATTGTAGTGCCCTTTTTGTGTGATTACTGGGAGGACTGAGGGAGACAAATGAAGTACACATGAAAGCACTAGTGGGAATCCTGGCAGATAGTAAGCATTTGGTAGCATTGCTTTTATTATTATGTCTTGATGTTGAGGTTGGATTTGTACGGGGGAGGATAAGGAATTTAAATAACATACATCAGGTAGTGTAGGGATCGGGAAGATCCTGGGCATCACAGAATTACAATCTCACCGTCTGCCCCTTTGAGTTGTCTGGTATAAGTGAAGGGTCAAGAGCCTGAGGCTGCTAAGACTAGGCCCTGCTCAGTGCTCCTAAGAGCAAAAGAGCAGTAGTCTGTTCTGTAGCAGAAGCAGTCTGGTCTCATTCTCAGGGTGTGAGTTTCAGGGACAGTGGTCTCTCCAAAGTCAACCAGATACCCCCTATGGGGACTGGGGAATAAAGTGCAACTTTTGCCCAGAGTCTGATGGATAGCCTGATAGAAGTGGTGGCTGGAGATCCAGCCTGGGAATGAGCTGGTATGACAGGCTGGACACCCAGGTCTTGTCTAACAGGAACAGTCTTAGAGGAAATATTACCACTCTCCAACCACTCCACCCCCCACTGCTAGCCCCAAGGGAAGGAGGATATGGAGAGGGTGGGGTGTCTTGTAGCGCTGGGAGATACATCCTCCCGGGGCTGGAGCCAAGAGACAGAGTCTCACGACCAATTTGTTAAGTGGGAACAGCAATCATTATCAGATTAAAAGGATATTCATTGCTGAACACCCTAGAGGAAGCGTGAGGGGGTCAGACATTTGGGTCTGAGGTAGAAGGATGGCCACTGGGGCAAAGGCTGTGATACTCTCTTGTTCCCAGGTGAAGACACATCTGCAGGCACAGGCAGCCTCAGAAATTGCTGTAGGGCACCAGTATAAGCATCAGGTGAGGGTTCCCAAGTCCGACAAAGTCCCTGAGCATCCTCTCTCTTCCCCCTCTAGCATTCTGCCTGCACCCACGCTCCAACCCCAGCCACTGCTCTGCCCAACCCATCAGTTCCATCCCATTTTGCCCCTGGAGCCTACCCAGACCCTCTTTCCTTTTTTTTAGACGGAGTCTCTCTGTTTTCCAGGGTGAAGTGCAGTGGATCTCAGCTCACTGAAACCTTCACCTCCTGGGTTCAAGCGATTCTGCCTCAGCCTCCCAAGTAGCTGGGACTGTAGGTGTGCGCCACCATGCCCAGCTATTTCTTTTCTTTTCTTTTTTTTTCGAGACAGAGTCTCTCTCTGTCACCCAAGCTGGAGTATGGTGGTGCGATCATGGCTCACTGCAACTTCGGCTCACTGCAACCTCCGCCTCCCGGGTTCAAGTGATTCTCCTGCCTCAGTCTCCTGAGTAGCTGGGATTAGAGGCGTACACCAGCACGCCTGGCTAATTTTTGTATTTTTAGTAGAGACGAGGTTTCACCATGTTTGTCAGGCTGGTCTCAAACTCCTGACCTCAGGTGATCTGCCAACCTCGGCCTCCCAAACTGCTGCGATTACAGGTGTGAGCCATCGCGCCCGGCAATTTCTGTATTTTTAATAGAGACGGGGTTTCACAAGTTGGCCAAGCTGGTCTCAAACTCCTGACCTCAGGTGATCCACCTGCCTCGGCCTTCCAAAGTGCTGGGATTACAGGAGTGAGCCACTGTACCTGGTGCCTCTTTCCAACATGTACTCCAGTTCCTCTAATTTCCTGCCTGTTTCTCCTGGTCTGTGAATGTCCTTACTTCCATACATCCCGCCCCAGTTCTTGGGTGGCCAGGGAGGAACAATGGGGTGGCAAGACAACCAAGGGCCCACATTCTGGCTCTAAGCCCACATTGAACTGTTGTCTAGACACCAGGTTCCTGTTAAGGACCCATCCTTGGCAGTGTTAGGAGGTGGCAGCCCCTGATACTGGGGTGACTGAACCCCACCCCCTGGTCTTCCCCACACTAGGGCATGTTTCAAGCGCTAACCGAGATTGGCCAGAAACATGGTCTGGTGGGGTTGTGGCGTGGGGCTCTGGGCGGCCTGCCCCGAGTTATCATCGGTTCCTCCACCCAGCTGTGCACCTTCTCATCCACCAAGGACCTCCTGAGCCAGTGGGAGGTACTGCCTGGGAAATGGGTGGGTCTGTTTCGGGAAGGGGAGAATGGGAGGGCAAGCTGCACTGGGCCCTGGAGGGGATGGTGCCTAACATTCAAAGGTGAGGGAGTGGCAGGAGGGCTTGGAGGTCACTGACTCTAGACCCTTCCCTAAGTTCTCTTGTCACTTCTTCCCAGAAGGGGTACCTGAGCCTTCGGGGTACCTGAGCCTTCAGGGTACCCTGGCCTTCCTCCTTCTCAGTGTTTTTCCACTGTTATAAGTGGTACAGTGGAAGCTCCCTGAGTTACCAGCATCTGTGTCCACAGGGCAGGGACTGTCCTGTCCTTGGGATGGAATGGTTGGCTGATTGACAATGCTCTTCCTCTCCACCCCCTTAGATCTTTCCTCCCCAGAGCTGGAAATTGGCTCTGGTGGCTGCCATGGTGAGTGGCATTGCAGTGGTTTTGGCCATGGCACCCTTTGATGTGGCCTGCACAAGGCTCTACAACCAGCCCACAAATGCACAAGGCAAGGTAAGGAAGTGCTCTGGGAGGCAGGCAGGGAAGCAGGGGATGGGGGTGGCAGATTGAGGGTGCCGGTGGGATAGCCTAAAACGTAGCCCGCAGAGGCGTGGCCTCTGATGGGCTCTGACAAACTCCTTCTCTGTGCTCTCCCTCCCTTTCCGACGTGCTCTCAGGGCCTCATGTACCGGGGGATACTGGACGCTCTGCTGCAGACAGCTCGGACCGAGGGCATTTTTGGCATGTACAAGGGTATAGGTGCCTCCTACTTCCGCCTTGGCCCCCACACCGTCCTCTCCCTCTTCTTCTGGGACCAGCTGCGCTCCCTCTATTACACATATGCTAAATAACAGCCTCTCTCGCACACTCCACCACATCAGCACTCCTTGGCCACTTGTGCCTCCACCACTGTGTCCTAGTAACTACTGATTAGGCGACCTTTCATCCATCCATGGGGGACAGCCAACCCCACTCCCCGTCTGTTCTCAGGGTTCAATCACAAGAGATGAGTTTCCCTCCTTTCCTTGGGTGTTGCTTTAAACCTTCCCTACCCATGCCCTGTACGCTTCACACCCCTCTCTCAGGACTGAGCCAGTCATTCCAAAGTGTATTTCCTCCCTCTCTCCATTGTCACCCTTGAGTCCCTCCTGCTCCCATGCACAGCTTTAAACTCCTCCCTCCAAAACCAAAGGGAATTGGGGGGACCCAGGCGTCCTGTTAGAATCAAAGGCACAGAGATTATGTTGATTATAAAGCAAGTTTATTCTGAAAAGGGATTGTCTTATGTTTATGCACAGGGAAGAAATAAGAGGAACCCAGATATTCAACCTCTTTTCCCCCTCACAGAGCTAAGTCCCCAAGTCCTCAGCAACATCGTGCAATGCTTCAGCGCCTTTACTGGGAACCAAAGATGTTGGGATCATGAAGGGTCAGACTGGTCACCAGCTGTTCAAATTCACCCAGGCTCCAGGGTGGAGGTGACAGATTTTCAGGGCCAAGAGATGACCGTTGTCAGCGCTTGGGGTGGGGAAACAGATGGAGAGAGAATATCATCCAGTCCTGAGGTTTGGAAATTGCCAATTCCTGTTCCCCAGAGGACCTGAGTGTCAGTGTCCCCAAACCTCTGGCCCATTCCTGCTTCCTTGGAGGACCCCACCAGTGAGTCTCCCTGTTCTGTCCCTCCCAGCCTGATTCTCCTGGGAACCCAGTCATGAACACCCGCCCATTCCTTCCTCCTTACGGGGGCTGACTGAAGGTGAGCAAGAGATCAGTCTGGTATTGGGGCAGCCGCAGCAAGGCCTGATGTAGTGTCACTTCCTTTGCTACCTAAGGGCATCAGAGTCAGGATGCTTACCTGGATCTCTGGTGCCGCCCCCCTCGCCCTTCCAGGACATTGCACACTCACGGGCCCTCACCTGCTGGTTTTCCTTAGCTACCTGCTGCTTGCCAGAGAGGACCCAGGCTTCTTGACAGCAGCCCCTCAGGGACAGGTTCTCCAAACTGAGAGGCTGAACAGACTCCACATGGACAGCCCTAGCCCCCTGCACACCACCAACATCCTCAAAGTGGTACCTGGAGTGGGGAAACAGGGTCAGGAAGGGACATCTCTACCCACCTCCCCAGGAGCATCTTCGCTCCCTGCCCCTGCATGGTCTCACCGCCCAGATTAACCGTCGGCCGCGAGCCGCGCCCACTGCCCCTGCTCCGGCCCTGCCATTGGCCAGCCCGGGGCCCTTCCCTCACCGCGCAGCCGCTTCGCCCTGCACGTGGGCCTGCAGCTCGAGAAGTTCCACAGTCAGGCTCTGGTCAGTCACGGGATGGCAGAAAACTTCTTGATTGTCCGGGACCGGTCGGAGGTCACTGGAGTGAGGCAAGGCCGACCCTGGTTGACCCCGGTCTCTTCCCACAACCCACCCAGTCAGCCGCCCCTGGGCGCCCAGGCCTTCTCACCTTACGTCAATGGCCCCGGTGGGGAGGATGGCGGAAAAGGCGCCCCCGAACAGCGGGCAGTCTCTCGTGGGCTCCATGGGCCTGAGGCTAGGTTATGGGCATTCGAAAGGTTTAAAAGAAGTCCACATTGTGTCACGTGGCATCGGCTCCCTGGGTTTCGCAGCGGCCCCCTCCAGCCCAGTCTGGCTTAGCTCCCGGACCCTTTAAGGTTTGGCTCCGCCCCGCGCTCGCTCTGACCAATCGGCGCCGGGGCCCTGGGGGCGCGGCTCAGTGGCGTTGTTCCGGAAGCCGCGCTCTTTGGAGGGCGCCAGGCAGGACGGCCGGGTCTGGCTTGCGGTTTGGACCTCGGGTTGGTGGTCACTAGCATGCTCCCGCCAGCCTCCTCTTGACTGATTGGTTGATTGGCAGGGTCTCACTGTCGCCCAGGCTGGAACGCAGTGGTACGATCACGACTCCTGCAGTCTCCACCTCCAGGACTCAAGCGATACTCCTGCCTCAGCCTCCCGAGTAGCTCCTGCTCCCGTCTCCAGGCCCCGCTAAATTTTTAATTATTTGTAGAGACGGGTTGGGCGATGTCTCCCTATCTTGCCCAGGCTGTTCTCAAACTCCTGGGCTCAAGCGATCCTTCCGCCTCGGCTTCCCTAAGTGCTGGAATTACAGACAAGAGCCACTGTGCCTGGCCTCCTTTTCAAGTGGCCACACCTTCCAAGAAGGTCGCCTGAGGCACTCCTGAGGGGCAGATGCTTGTCAAAGGGTCCGACGTCTAGGTAGGGTCTTTTGAGTGTTCTGGGCCTCTGAACGACGAATGGGCTGCTACCCAGACCGCTAATTCACAGATCCGATGCTGGGAATTAGGGGAACAATGGGTCCAGGTTAGGATTCTGGTCTCACACCTTCCTGAAAGTGAGACCCAACCTGGGTATTAGAAATCTAATCCCCCTCAAATCTTAGCTTTGGGAATGCTCCTGGGCGGGTGCAACCCCACGCCCAGTTCCGCACACCTGTGCAGAAGTACAGATTACATGCTCTTTTCTTTTTCTTTTACAGATTTGTTGTGTTCTTAAAGCTTTAGCTTCACTATATCCTTCCAGTTAATTTCTCTATTCATCTTTGATCCCCAGCACCTGGCACAGTGTTTGGAGCGTAACAGACCTAATACATATTGTTGAGTGATTGAGTAAAACTCAGTGCAGGTGTCTGGAACCCAGGAGATCACCCATACCCTCATGGATTCTAGATGTCACCTATGTCCCAGCCAAGAACTGGGCAAGAAGATTCTGATCTTGAGGGTTCCAAGTGCTGACCATACCTCTGGACCCTAATGATTGAGTGAAATGAAGCCAAAGGGCACATATTTATTGGTCTGTTACCTTGCCAGGCCCTACGTGAAGGACTGGAAATTCAAAGACATTTAGGACACAGCCCCTGATGCCTCAGTGAAGGTGTAAAAGGAACAGTGGAGCACACTTTGAGTCCTTTTTTGTTTTTCTGAGAGGCGTTTCACTGTTGCCAGGGCTAGACTGCAGTGGTACAGTTGTAGCTCACTTCAGCCCTGACCTTGTGGGCTCAAGCCATCCTCCTGCCTCAGCCTCCTGAGTAGCTGGGACTACAGGCACACACCACCATGCTCAGGTAATTTTTGTGTTTTTTTTTAAAGAGATGGAGTCTCACTGTGTTGCCCAAGCTGATCTTGGACTTCTGGTCTCAAGAGATTCTCCTGCCTTGGCCTCCCAAAGTGCTGGGATTACAAACATGAGCCACCATGCCTGGCTCACACTTTGAGTCTTAAAGCTTGACTCAGAGAATTCAGTAGGACATCCTAGGGGTATTCTAGCTGGGGGAACATCAGGAGCAGAAACTTGGAGATGAGAGGACATGTTTTAGGGAAAGCAAGTGTATCAGTTTGGCAAGGGAGGGTAGGATGGGAATGGGCGGCAGGGAGCTGCGAAATAGGGATGCAGGGTTTTTGTAGTGAACACGAAGGAGCTTGACTCCTCATTTCTTACTACAGCTATCAGACTTCTGAGTCTCATTTTCTTATCTCTAAAATGCTGTTAGGGGGTCAGGTGCCGTAGCTAAGGCCTGTAATCCCAGCACTTTGGGAGGCCAAGGTGGGCGAATCACGTGAGGTCAGGAGTTTGAAACTAGCCTGGTCAACATGATGAAACCCCATCTCTACTAAAAATACAAAGATTAGCCATGTGTGGTGGCAAGTTCCTGTAATCCCAGCTACTAGGGAGGCTAAGGCAAGAAAATCACTTGAACCCAAGAGGCGGAGGCTGCAATGAGCCGAGATTGAGCCACTGCACTGCAGCTTGGGCAACAGAGCAAGATTCCATCTCAAAAATGAAATAAAATAAAATGCTGTTAGGAAGAAATGAGATAATGTATGTAGTTGAGTCTGAACCTATTTCTGGATAAAGAGAGTAGAATACGTTTGATATGTGAGGAATTTGAAAGAGCAGGGGCATTACAGGCTCCAGAGGGAGAGAAGGAACCCAGCCATGGGAAACAAAAGGAGCCAGGTCAGAGGGGTCCACACCATGCTGCTTCTCTGGGATAATGAGTAACAGAGCTCTCTGTCCCTCCCTCCCCATTCCTGCCAGTCTGCTCTCCACCCCTGTTCCCCACCAGGGGCAATACCAGCTCTGGCTGCTTTGGGACCAGTCAAGCAGGTGGAGTCCTTGGAAAAGGACCTACAAGGACATAGAAGTTAACAGGGTTCCTGCACTGGCCATAAGCGGGTGTGGAGGCCTATTACATGGGTCCAGAGGAGGTCACACTAGGTCAGGGAGACTGAGAAAAAAGCACCCCCAACTTAGTCATTTTGGGTATCTGGCATGTCTCTGTTCTGCCATGAGCCCTGTGCAGCTGGGGACTCCTGGCCCTCCACAATTCTGTGGGTTCTTGGGGAAGGAGTTAGACGGGCTCTTCCGGGTGGTAGGAAATAGAAGTGACAGAGTGCTCAGCCAGACCTCCTCTGGATGAATGGGGTGGAAGGCCACCCTCACTTGGCAAATTCCCACACTTGGCTCCAGTTCCCCTTCTCCCTTCACCTCTTTTTTTGTGCCCATCACTTCTGCTGGCCCTGCCCACTGTTGACTCCCTCAAGTGTTCAAATTCCAGCTTCCCAAGGGACAGGATCTAATTGGGTCAATGAGTTGTCATTCAATCTGAAAGTACCTATTTGGCAGGCTCTCCTGCCTGGCCACTCCTCAGGCCACCACCCAGACACAAGGGAGATCTCTGGCCCAGCTGGCTGCAGCTAGGATGATGAGTATCAGGGGACAAATCTCAGTAGAGAGATGGCCAGCAGCCACTTTTCTCAGGAGGATGACAGGGGATGACTGGCTGTCAGCACACTGGTTGCAAGTAGGCCTGCAACTGACTGATTCTGTACACCTGGGACAGTCCCTTATCCAGTGCCCTGCATGCAGTTGATGCAGTTGTTTGCTTTGGAGACAACAGTCCCAGAGACTCTCCCCTTTAGAGCACCAAGAGATGGACTCAGATCAGAGACGGCACAGCACCCAAAGGCAAACATCCCTTTGAGGAGAGGTAGGGCAATGAATGTTTCTATTAAGCAGGGGTTTGCATCTTTTTTTCTACCGTGGACTGCTTTGGCAATTTTGTGAAGCCTGTGATCACCTATTCGGCATAATATTATTGTTATTTTTATTCTCACTCTTTTTGAGACAGGCTCTCATTCTATCACCCAGGCTGGAGTGCAGTGGCACGATAATGGCTTACTACAGCCTCAACCTCCTGGGCTCAAGCCATTCTCCCACCTCAGCCTCTCAAAGAAATTACAGGCATGGGCCAGGTGCTGTGGCTCACGCCTGTAATCCTAACACTTTGGGAGGCCGAGGTGGGCAGATTGCTTGAGCTCAGGAGTTCGAGACCAACCTAGACAACAAAGTGAGACCCTGTCTCTATTAA